GCTTCGCGCTTGGTGATGTGAGAGCCTGGTCCGGTGAGAACCCGGCGTGCTCCGTCCCGGCTTTGTAGGGATGTCAATGTGGTCTAACGACTACGGCATGAACGACTATGAGTATGAGTACCCCCCCCCCCCCGGCCGTTTGCCATCGGGGTTGGGTTTTCGTCGCTTGGCAACGACGTTGTTATAACAAGCCCCTCCCTCGGAGTTTGCTACCGGGGTTGGGTTTTCGTCGCTTGGCAACGACGTTGCTAAACAAGCCGATCACGTCGTGAGCTCGGCAACCAGGTTGTTACCGCTTTTTTTTTTTGCCTTTGATATTTTTTTGCGGTAACCAGAATGGTGGTCGTGTAGATCATGTTGTGCGGGGTGGAGAACCCTCACTCCGCGCAACGGGGATGATCGCACCACGTTGTGTTAAATTGGTCCAGCACCTTCGAGGTAGTTACACAATGCTTAGACTATATCTGTCTCTGGAAGTGAAAACACCATAATGTAATTCATACGCAGCTGTCATCCGTACGCAAGGAAGTAAGCACAAGATGCCGAAAACCCTTAGCAGGATGCAGCGCACCCTTCATGCGGCTCGCCGAATACCTCACGGTGCTTCGCGCTTGGTGACGTGAGAGCCTGGTCCGATGAGAACCCGGCGTGCCCCGTCCCGGCTTTGTGCGGATGCGAGGTCAATGGTTCAATGACTACGGCATGCACGACTATGAGTACAGCCCCCCCCCCCGCTCTGTTCCGTACGGAAGTGTGCGCAGACGATGGTCCTAGGCGACCATCGACCTTTCCCGCCGGCCCCCCTCCCCCTCCCGGCGTCAGGGGCCGACGAGGTGGAGGGTTGTCAGTCTCGCTCCGGGGGACGGTTGGTTGACGGGAGCGCGAGATGAGCAGCCGCCGTGCGTTTGGAGTGGTGTTGTGAACGGCGTTGTTGGGCTTGCTTGTGTTGTTGTTGTTGCTTGGCTGCAATGTGCTGCAAGTTGGCGTTCGAGACGAACACATCACAGCCCCCCCCACCCACCCACACGCAGTGAGGCTTCTAACATGTGCCCGTGATCTGTGTTTTTCTCTCCATTGCCGTTTCTACATGTAGATAGGTCCGATTTCCTCGACCAGGAGTTTTCGACCTCAACCGCGCATTTTGCTGGAGATCACGCCGATTTGTGATGGAGTTCGGGCTGGCCGCCGCCGCGTCTGGCAAAGGTAAGCCTGCCACTGTGTCTGGCAAAGGCAAGTCAGCCGCTGCGTCTGACACCGTCGATCCCGACGGCAGCAGCGAAGAGACTCGTCCGCGTCTCAGCAAGGCAGGGTGACATTTGGGTCCCAACTCAATACTTTGTCGTCACCGAGCTGGTGTTTGGGCTGAATGGAGACCTTTTCACCCACCACAAAAAGGCAGGGTGCGCTGTGTGAAAAGCAATCCCTAGCTTGCGTTGTCGTGAGATTGGAGGCTGGTACTGTTTCTACTTTTCTTCCCTCGAGCTCTTGGGCCGCTCACCATTGCTGACTTCGCCTTCTAGGAGACGGCGCGTTTCGTTCACTTAATATGGGAGTCTTGATCTCCGAAATTTATTTTTAGAGCCATTGTTTTCAAGCCGGCGGAAGTCTCTCTTCTTTCGGGGTAGGATCTGTAGGGCTGACATCAGACATGCCTGCCTACAATTCATTTTGAGTGTGAGAAAGACATGGTGTTCTGGTGACGACGATCGCACGAGATTTAACGTACGTAGTAGTCGTTTGGAAGTACCTGTGGTACGCGTTCGGTTCGAAATCATGTGAGGATTTTACACGGTTCTGACTGCATGCAGCAAGCTGGGGACAAGAGTTTTCGATCGGTTTTGATGACGCAAACGATTTAGACTAACCATGGGATATTTGTCAGTGTTAAGCCGGAACTTTCGCAGTGAACTCAACCCTCAGCTAGAACGACATTTAAAACTAAGTCAGCCTGCGCCAAGGTACCCCGTGCTTTACTGTTTTGTTTTTTTGGGCGCTCAAGCATCATGGCTGGCCGTGCACAAACGCCAAGCACTCGCCGGAAACAGATGAGGAGTGTCTAAGTGGAAGCCAGGGGCGTGTGATGTATGTTCGTGGATATATATACTCCACTGCGAAACCTGCACCAATTATCCCGCTTGTTCATAGACGTGCACTCGACATGTGATGAAAATACTTCAATGAAGGCAACATCACAAGACCTCCCCCCCTCCCCTCAAGTCTCCTCGAAGTATGCTTGCTAACAAACAAACCCTGTTTGTGGTACTTGGATATGAGTCCGATCTGTGCATCCTCTGTGGGGGATACGCGTATGGGAAGTATGGGTTTGATGTGTATGTATGCGGGTGGGGTCCAAGTGCGGTCCCCCCGGGTGAGCACACGGTGGTGTGTGCCCGGCACTTGCCTGAGGGGCTTGCGTGTTGGTTTCCAGCTTGCCTGAGGGGCTTGCGTGACGGATACATATAATACATGGTCCTTTTTCATCTGCTGTTCCTGGGATAACATAGTACCCAGTCCCAACACCACAGACCGCTGAGGGCGGTAGTACACACTAACACGATACCGATTTTGGAGCCTAGCTAGGCCGGGTGTTGATTCGGCGATGACGGAAAGAGAAAGAGAGTTGTTAGAAGAACGAGCGAGGAATATCGAGAGAGCAGACAAGGAAGCGGCAGCCAAGATGGCGGAAATGCAGAGGAGAATAGAGGCGGCAGAGGAGAGGACTTCAGCGGAGAAAGTCGCGAGAAGGAGAGTGAGTGATGCCGGGTATGCGGCAGGTAACATAAGGATAAGTGGCGCTGGCTATGCGCCTGGGTACCATAGCAGGGATGGAGCTGCCGGAGGGGCGGCTACTTTTGGAGCCGGGGGGACGGCTAGTTTCTTCGGTGATCGGGAGCAGCAGCAGCGTGACCGCGATTACGTGCGGAAGGACCGGAAGCCACCGGTGTACGACGGCAACTTCCCACTGTTCAAGTCGCTGTTCGAGCTCTTCCTCGCCCGCGAAGATCTATCACACACACTCGCCAAGCCGGCGAGTCCAGACCAACGCATCTGGCTCCTCAACGGGCTGCCAAGGAGCGAAAACGTCCGCTTGCACGGTGAGCGTCGCGTGCGCGATCATGAGTATGCGTTTGAGTACTGGATGCGCGCCACGAAGGGGGCAAACTTTCAGGCTAGAGTCCTTGCCGTTGGGACTGTGTCTGGGGCGTGGGAGGCTGCACAACAGTTCTGCCTGTCGATGAGTGACTCCGAGCAGGAGGCACTGAAGCTGTCTCTCGACACATTAAGATGCCGCTTAGAGAGGACCCAAAGGAGTACTTTCTTAGGTTCGACAGAGTGTTGTCTACTCTCCGCGCCGTCAACGGCGATGTGGNCCGTTGGGACTGTGTCTGGGGCGTGGGAGGCTGCACAACAGTTCTGCCTGTCGATGAGTGACTCCGAGCAGGAGGCACTGAAGCTGTCTCTCGACACATTAAGATGCCGCTTAGAGAGGACCCAAAGGAGTACTTTCTTAGGTTCGACAGAGTGTTGTCTACTCTCCGCGCCGTCAACGGCGATGTGGTCACGGATAGAGAAGTCCTCGCGATGCTTCGAAGGAACCTCTCCGCCGACTACGAACAGGTCCACGTTCTCTTCATGGCCAACAGCTCGCTCACGCGCAAGGACTTGGAGAATCTTGTGCGTAGCCTGCACGCCGAGAGAGACCTCGGGAATGTTGCGCGGCGGACGGCAGCGCCGACCGGTGACCCGCACGCTCTTAATGTTGGCGGTGGAAATTTTCGGCGCGACTGTTGGGGAGGTTTTTCTCGTCAACAGCAGCATGGTCTACAGCAGTCCTGCGGAGGTGTTCCCGTACAGCAACCGTTCCAGCAGCAGTGGAGGTACGGCGTGTTTGGCAGAGGGTGTTCTTTTCAGCAGCAGCAGCAACAACCGTGCGTGCAGCAGAGGTTCGTGCCACAGCCATCGGTGCAGCAGCAGCCCATGCCACAGCAGCAGCCTCCTCAACAGCAGCAACCTCTACGGTCCTGCAACGGCGCTCCTGGTACAGCTCCAGCTTTCGTCCGCGGACCGTTTCAGCAGCAGCGGACGAACGGCGAGTTTGGCGGCGGGTCTGTGTGTCGGCAGTACCAGCAGCAGCAGCCAGGCGTGGTGTACGGCGGTGACTCTCAGCAACAGCCGCGGCAACAACAGCTAGCGGACGGCTTCACCGGGGGTGCAGGTGGACAGGTACGTGGTGGCGTGTTCGTTGGTGAGAAGGGGGAGGGGCTGCTGCCGGTTCGTCTGCGGGTATTTGCCGATAAAAGCCCCCGCCAACGTAGCTCCTCTCAACGTGAACACACACTCCGCCACTCGCTCTCCCCAGCGGCCCGCGACATGACGTGTAGCACCTGTAGTAGTGCGGCTACGCGATGAGCTGAATCTCATGGAGGGCGGATACAGCAGTAGACGTGTAGCGGAGGAACACATGCTTGGATCGTATCACGTTGTTGTAGTTTTGCCGTCCGCGGAATCACAACAACACAAGCATTCGTCGCAAGCGGCAGTAACAGCAGCGGCGTCCCCGGTCGCCGCGTTGGCAATGGGTATACGGACGGCCGCAGCGGCGGCGGTGGCAGCAGCATTGGCAGGAGCGGCGGCGGCGCGGACGGGTTCGGCCAGAGCGCCGTCACCGACAGCAGCATCGGCGGGAATGGAGGTGGTGCGGACGGCTTCGGCCAGAGCGCCGTCCCCGACAGCAGCATCGGCGGTGGCGGCATCGGTGACGGGGGGAACGGCACCAGCAGCAGCAGCAGCAGCAGCAGCGGCGGCGTCCCCGGTCGCCGCGTTGGCGTTGGGTGTCCAGACGGCCGCAGAGGCGGAGGTGTCGACATCGGTGACGGGGGTAACGGCAGCGGCGGCAGCAGTAGCGGAGTCCCCGGTCGCCGCGTTGGCGTCGGGTATCCAGACGGCCGCAGCGGCGGCGGTAGCGACATCGATGATGGGAATAACGGCAACGGCGACAGCAGCAGCGGCGTCCCCGTTCGCCGCATTGGCGTCGGGTGTCCAGACGGCCGCAGAGGCGGAGGTGTCGACATCGGTGACGGGGGTAACGGCAGCGGCGGCAGCAGTAGCGGAGTCCCCGGTCGCCGCGTTGGCGTCGGGTATCCAGACGGCCGCAGCGGCGGCGGTAGCGACATCGATGATGGGAATAACGGCAACGGCGACAGCAGCAGCGGCGTCCCCGTTCGCCGCATTGGCGTCGGGTGTCCAGACGGCCGCAGGGGCGGCGGCGGCGGCACCGGTGACGGAGGTATGTGACGAAGAGTTGGAGGAAGCGGTTGGTGCGACAACCATGACATTGCCAGTCCTCGAGGAGCTTGATAGTCAATATGCTGGGGGGGACGTGAGCAACAGCAGCATCAGCAGCAGCAGTAGCAGCAGCTGGAGCAGCGAGGACAGCGGCGGCGATGGGAGCGGGGACGAGGAGTTGGATGAAACCTGGAGTGGAGGCCCGACGCACCCCTTCGACCCCAGTACGACATCTTCGCGTGGCGCGAGGAGACGGGGGGCGGTTCCAGGGGTGGCGTACCCCTTCGATAGGGGCAGGAACGGGAGTGGCAGCTCCGGCGGCGGCAACGGCGGTAACGGCGGCAGCCGCAGCAGCGACGTGAGTAGCGGCTTCGGCCAGAGCTCCGGCGGCGACACCGGCGGCAGCGGGAGCAGCGACGGGAGTGGTGGCTTCGGCCAGAGCTCCGACGGCAGCAGAAGAAGGCAGCGGCGGCTTTGGCCAGAGCCCCGTCGGCGGCAGCGGCGACAACGGCGGCGGTGGTAGAGGCGGCAGCATCGACGTCACCGGCAGCCGTGTTGGCGCTGGAACTCATGACGGTCGTGGCGGCGGGGGTACGGAAACGGCGGCGATGGCAGCGGCGGCAGCAGCGGTGGCACCCTCGAGTCGACCGGGAACGGGGAGGACACGGTGACAGCGACGACCTCAACTTGTTACAGCCAAGTGGGAGAACATGTGAAACGTTTACGACTTTGTTCGGTTTTGTGAGCAGGCATGGACGTTTTAGCTTCGCCATTTGGCTTCGCATTTATTTTTTTTTGTTCTGTTTTTCCCTTGCTAGCGCACCGTGCACTTTGATTCAGAAAACACGTGTATACCACGGCGTGTGCGTAATTTTTTTTTTTACTTAGTTTCATGATAATAATACCCCTGCGACAAGATAATCATTGCCACAACCTGTGGAATAGGAAGCAGCACGTGGGTATTTTTTTTTTCCTTATATCTTGGTATATTTTCAGTCGTGTTTAACCTTGCAGCTGAATTCTTCATACCATTTCCGTATTCTTTGGAGGGAGTAGGTTAAGTCGAGTTTTTTTTTTTCTACGAACCGGACACTTTGCACTTAGAAAACTAGCGACGCACGCTGCAGGAGGGAGGCATGGAGGAACGATGACCCAGAAAGGAGTCTACAAGGAGAGGCTACTTCAGGTCGTTTCGGTGGCTACGCAGGTGGCCATATCAAGGAGGGTACAAAGATACAAGCTCGCACTACGTGGACGACAAGAAGCGGAGGACCAACGAACAAGATCGACACCGAACAAATCGACACCAATGATTTGGGGATGTAGTGTCGATGCACTGTAATAGTAGGAATGTAATGGATTATCTTATGAGCGTAGGTATAGTTGTTACAAAGCATTTGGTAGGTACATCACATATACTAAAAGAAATGTCATTTTAGTAGTAGATTATGTTCACAAGATTTCGGTTCAACGACAGGAACTTCTTGTCAGAGTTTTGGAGAGACAAGGTTTTGGCATTTTCACAAAGGAAGTAACAGGAGAACGGAGGAAATGTTGAATTCAATCAATAATGTTATGATTTCCTTCAGTTTTAAGTTCGGCATTGGTAGGTACGTACTAACATGACGTGCATGTACAATATCGTATTCGTACAAGTATGAGCATGAAGATAGAAATAGTAAGGGGTATACATTGAGTGAAACGTTTTTCGACTTTAGTGCTAACATCTTCAATTAAATTGTCGGAGGGCGATAATAATAATAATAATGTTTCGATACTTTGGTTTTTATGTGAGGTCCTGAGTTAAGTGGTCGCTCTCTGCGGTGTCTTTCTGGCCGCGCGCACAAAATGGGATGATAGCGCGTTGTTTGACATGCATGAAGGCATACCGATCAGGGAGCAGGGGGGCTTTCGGAGTTCCAGTTGAGGTGACAGTTTGCAAACGATACGAACTTTTTTCTGGAGTTTGATGCCTTGTGTGTTACGTGTGTTCATGTTCTGGTTTGTATCGCATGTTTTGCTGCTCTTGCATCGAAAATCATGGGGGAGGATGTCATGATGTCATGCATGACCATGATTCTAGAGGGCATGAGCAGCAATCGAATTGGTTTGTTTTCTGGTCGCGCCTACTTGTGTGTTAGTTGAACGGCAAAGCAAGGGGGCTGCTGGCATCGAAATATAAGCTCGGGGTGAATTTTGGGAGCTGACAGCAGGGGGGCTGTTTGCGTGGATGCTTGCTTGCGTTCTCTATCGTTTCTTGGACAACAGCGACGGTACCGATTAGCGGGTGCGCGCTGTTTAGGATTTAGTCCTTGGACACTGTATTGGAGGAAGGATTTGACATGTTTTGACGATTAATGGTTGGGGCCGTTGTGCTCTCCGAATTCTCGTTTTGATTGGTCAAGAAGTTGAGTTTTTGTTATGTTTGAGGATTTGGTGCCAACTCTTGCAAAGTTGTTTTTTCCAGAAGTATCCGGTTTCGTTCTGACGCCCTTCTATGTAGCACAAATATTTGATGGGTACCTTTCTGAGGATGATTCATTTTTTGTCAACGATTTCAGATTATTTCCAGAGACGAACGCGTAGGACTCGTGAATAAACTGATGGAGACGCTTTGTGTTGAATGTGCAGCCAGTTTTGTTGAGTAAGTTTTCTCAAGGGGTGTTTTTCTGTGTTGGCTGATTGCGCGTGAAGGGTTGCAAGATCGTTCATCGTATCAAGTAGGGGGACTGTTTGTGGTACTTGGATATGAGTCCGATCTGTGTATCTTCTGTGGGGGATACGCGTATGGGAAGTATGGGTGTAATGGGTATGTATGCGGTTGGGGTCCAAGTGCGGTCCCCCCTGGTGAGCACACGGCGGTGTGCTCCCGGCACTTGCCTGAGGGGCTTGCGTGTTGGTTACCAGCTTGCCTGAGGGGCTTGCGTGACGGATATATAATACATGGTCCTTTTTCATCTGCTGTTCCTGGGATAACATTGTACCCAGTCTCAACACCACAGACCGCTGAGGGCGGCAGTGCACACAAACAAACCCGTTGTGATAAAAATTACCCTCCATTTAGCCCTCCTGCACGACAACAGCACCTTTTGGCTCTGTCGATCATGCCTACAGGCTTCGTCGGCATCCGTTTCGTGCTTGCGCCAGCGAAAATAAATACTCCTCGAAATAAACAACAACAACGTGTTTACCTTAATACGCATCCCACAACGATGCCGCATGCAATACAGTTGAGGCCAAACGCAACCAGAAAGTCACGAAAGTGCCTCGCCACTCGAACGAGAAACGATGGCGTCAAATATCTCCCCCCCTCCCCCCCCCCCCCCCCCCCCCCCCCCCCCCCCCCCCCCCCC